GTTTGGAATAAAGCTGTTAATATTATTATAGAAATGTGGCCCAGAGACTGGCACACGTTTGACCTTCTGTAATGCGATTAATTTTTTTTTAATTTTTCCTCCACGTTCCCAGTGGAACATAGGGCTTCAAGCTAGTGGCTTGAAGTTTTTGTAGCAGTGTTTATTTTTACAGGATGGGGTTGCTAGTCTCATGCCTAACCTTTCTTCTTTACCAGCATTATTTCTGGCATAGAGAGGTAAAGGAGTGCGTCGGTGGCCGGGAATCGAACCTAGGACCATATGCATGGCTGGCGAGCGTCCTAACCGCTGTGCCACCGACGCACCTGTAATGCGATACTCGACACTTTGACCGGACATGTGTTATGTGTTTAGTCCTTTTCGTGGCGCGGACGGAATTTTATCGGTAGTCAGGTTTGCAATACAGTTCTAAAGGAGGTTAATTACGAGACCGAGTAGCTCAGTGATAACATCTCTGACTGCAACACTGAGCAATACGACTTCGAATTTCAGGAGAGACATGACTTCCCTCGAGATCGCCTTGCTGACCGGTGAGTGTTGGCGAGCACGAGACCTAGGTTGAAGGCTTCCTGCCGATTGCCTCCAACCATCTAATAATGTTGACGTTATACCCATTTAATGCAAATACGCTTGCTTTCCCTTATGCAAAGCAATGAAACCATAATTCTACTAAGTATTTAACCCAAAATCCGAAAACGTTATGTGTATGTCACATTTGTGATAATTAGAAAAAACTATCTGAAAAACACTCACTACCTAATCAACAGGACTGGACTACATCGACGCCTAGTTTAAAAATAGGAGGTGAAGTGGTAGAGCACGTTAACCGCTTCACTTATTTGGGAAGTACCATCAGCCCCAACGGGCTGATCTCTGACGAAATCGCAGCACGAATACAAGGGGCTCGTTTCGCATTTGCCAGTTTACGCCGACTCTGGCGTAGACGAGATGTTCGACTATCGACCAAAGGGCGGGTGTACTGCTCATCAGTCCGCTCCGTCCTCCTTTATGGTTGTGAGACCTGGCCACTGAGAGTGGAAGACATGAAAAGACTAGCTGTCTTTGATCATAGGTGCCTGCGTTCTATTTCCCGTGTAAAGTGGCATAATAAGGTGAGCAACATTGAGGTTAGGCGCAAAGTTCTAGGTAAACAGGGGAAATCAATCGACGAAGTCGTGAAGTTACAAAGACTGAGATGGTTAGGACATGTGTTACGTATGCCAAGCCATCGCCTCCCTCGACGAGCAATGTTAGCGGATATAGGGTCAGGCTGGAAAAAAGCTAGCGGCGGTCAAACAAAAACTTGGCATCAGTCAATGAAATCCACAACAGTTGGTCTAAGCCACGTAGGAAGGTGTAGACTTCCAGGCTGGGGTCCTCGGGACGGTAAAAATCTATGGTTGGAAACAATTGGTGACATGGCTCAAAATCAATCTCAGTGGCGCAGATGCATCCACTCCCTGTGACTTATGATCTTCAATGAAACTGTTTTGTTTTTCTTTATTACTCCTTTGTCTCACACCTCTACTCACTGTTTCTATTATGCTTTTCTTGTACTTTCTTCTCTTGCTTCGCGTGCTACACGGAGTGTGGCGACTTGAACTTCCGCACATTTATGCAAAGTTCTATGTCGAAAACAGACAGACAGACAGACCTAATCAACAACGAGACATTTGATTATATCAAATTTGCAAGGGGAGAGGCATCAAAGGACAAAATTCCATGTCTACAGGCCTCAGTCAGGGGGAATAACCACAGGGAAACTAGAAACCCAAGTATACACAGAAAGCAACTCATACAGATCGAATACCCAATAAAAAACAGGACACAAAAGGAGTGGCATTCATAAGAGCCAGAACACATGGCAGCATGACTGCCTTGAGGGGAGTTAGCAAGGAAATATGTTTAAACCGTCTTGCAAAATAAAAATGGACATCCACGAGATTTCATCAGAAGATGTCTGTTCTCAATCCAGCCAAGGAGCTAAGTCAACGCTCCTACCAAACATGAAGAACATTTCCGAAATAACTACAAGATTATTGAAATCCTTTGGAATAGATGCCACACACACAAACCAATAAAATTCACTTCAGTCGCTTATATGTCAACCAAAAAGACGCAACAGTAATTGGAAGAGACCAACATCACCTACAAGATAAATTGTAGCAACTGTGAAATACATTTTATTAATTGAAGCGAAAGCTCTCTTTGTCTTCGCACCTATGAATATTAAAATAGGCGTCGATAGAAGGCATGATATCCATCCCCTCATATAGTCGGATGCAGACAACCTGACAAAGGAAACATTAAAAGTGCCTGGGGATTTCTAGGAGCTTGGTACTCAGGCGACCTTATAATCAACAGATATATTGACATAGACTAAATTTATCAATCAATAAGAAAGAAGTCACATGGACAAAAATCCAGCAAAAACAATCGACACAAATCTGTCTGTCTGTCTGTTTTCGACATAGAACTTTGCACAAATGTGCGGAAGTTCAAGTCGCCACACTCCGTGTAGCACGCGAAGCAAGAGAAGAAAGTACAAGTGGATTAGAGGGTGAGAAAATACCCAGAGACAACCGACCACGTTCAAAGTTACCAGCAAAGGTGGCTGATAAACTCATGAAGAATTCTAAAAGCTCAGCTGCAAATTGTAGTACGCACTGAGGAAAGACAATGGAAGCCTCCCAACTGAAGAATTCACACTTCAGAGAACAAAACTACACTAAATGCACCACCTGGAACCAATGTCAAAATGACTACAGGGCACAAATGGGGTTGTTAGTTGAGAAAAATGCATGGTTTTGATAAGATGGAGAGCATGATGGTATTGAGAAATGGAGACTTCCCTCTTAGGAATAAAGAAAATCTTCGTAGTCACAACTACACTCTGTACATTATCTAGAACGATCTAGTTTTGAGATTATCTGTAGATGTGATAAAAGATTTCACATTAAACTCATCTCATGAATCTTGTATTTCTAGGTGTAATGAAAAAGTTGATTATGCTTTAGTAAAAAAAAATGCTTAATTTTGAGAGGAAAAGATTTTAAGACGTTTCAGGCTGACACCAATAGATTCCTAATGAAGGTGAAGAGGCTTCCTTGAGGATCGCGGTTACAAGACCATTGAACGTTAACATTTCTTGATGTATTTAAGGACTCTTTAGTTATGCTGAGAGACAACTCCACCATGTCTTCTTCTCTTTTTCCTTTCACGTTCCCAGTGGCTTCAAACTAGAGGCTTGAAGTTTCTGTAGCAGTATTTATTTTTATGGGATGAGGCTGCTAGCCTCATGTCCAACCTTTCCTCTTTACTGGCTTTGTCTTACTGGTTTGGCGATGTAAAGGAGTGCATCGGTTGGGGAGTGTCCTAACCACTGTGCCACCGACGCAAACATTATCAAGGCGAGGCGTATGCATATGACACACAGCCTTCTTCAAACCTTGTACACAACGATTAGGTTGCGTACTATCCCATCACCCTTGGCAGATCTGGCAACAAGTCACAAGAACACCATCAGAGCATATGACACGTTAGGTACCCCGACTCCACCATGTATATATGCTAACTTCCACCGTCTTAGTTTACCAGTGTATTCTTTAACCAACAGTAAATTATAGCGTTGCTCCAGAGATGGTGCGTGCTGAAAGAGAATTGGCTAACTTCGTACAATAATTCGAGAAAGTTTACTAAACATCACTTAGTTTATAACATACACTTTCTAGTTGATAAACTCATGAAGAATTCTAAAAGCTCACTACAAATTATAGTATGCACTGAGAATGATATCCGGAACACATTCCTTACTTTTTCTGAAAATTACAAGGAAGACGGCAACGACGTTTATTGCTTCTGTAATTACGGTAGTATTAACAGATATTACCACTATTTCTTGACATGCTACATGTCCAGGAGCGACGTCGATTGGATGAAGGGATCGATCGTATGTGCGTGTGGTTACTGATGCTAACTGGTACGGTAAAGCATCGACCTTATGTACTATTGATATAAGTATAAAAATTGGGCACTGTGGTCGAGTATAACTCCATTATTGATAAGATTTTATTTTGATAAATTACCCAGTGTTATACAGTAGTATTAACTGATGACAACGTTGCGAGCTCAAACTATTGCTCATTATCATATCAAATCACTTACACAACTTTTAAACTTCATTTATACACATGAGTGGAGTTGATTAGACATGTGAAAAAAAATCAATGTGATAATGTACATCCAGAAATAATAATATGAATGTTATTCACCAAATACAATCAAATGGGAAATAAGATGTTTTTATAGTAAAATAAATAAGTAACTTGTTAGAATGTTGTGATGTCTGTAAATTGAAATAGAATTTTAGGTGTCTAGTAGTTGTCCAGTTGAAGCAAATGCGCGAGGTATTGATCTCTAACAGATGCCAGTGGCTATTTCGATGAGCCTACTGATACTGATGTCGTCAACTCAACGAGCAAAAACTTTTGAATATTTGCCGGTAATCGTCTTAATCAGATTCGATAAAGTTGTTTGTCGATCTCTCTGCCTGCTACAAGGTTTTACACGCACTGCATGAGGTAGAACGGCGTTGTACCACTTAACACTGCTTAACAAATAGTTTAGTGCTTGTCCATTTGGAAAGTGACGTATATGAGGATTCTGTGTCGAGATGAACAATATATTGGCGGACTCGTTCAACCTCTTCGTCTGGTAGTATAGCACTCAAAATCCGGAATTCAGTGTTCTTTGAAAATAGCTTATTGACAGTGAAAGTGTTCCAGCAGAGGACACCTAAGATAGGGATCTCTGGGTCTAAAAAGTGGTAAAATAAGTGCCATTATAATGGCACTAACAGATCCCCCCTAGCAATTATCGGAGTCATTTAGAGACATATTACAATGTATGCAGGTAGTTTAAAAAACTAAATAGCAGAATTTATACGAAATGAAAATATCAAAAGACAAAATAATGATGCTTACCACGACAAAATGCAGGTCACATGCACAGAATGTGTATCAGATTGAATTCAAAGTTTAAGAATGGAGACCCAAGAGATACGAACGCACAATGACCTTGAGCCGACCAATCACAAAATAGGAGGAATTTTGCATAAAATTTAACGTATATTTACACAAAAATGCATGAAAAAAACATTAAACGGATTATATTTCTCTGATATGACTTAAAAATACGTTTCAGTTGCGATGAAGAGTATCAGTTGCTAATTTGGACTAGTTTCTGTAGATGTATTCACCAAAGAGACTGAAGGTGTGCTGTTTTGGGAATGGTTCATCTCTCTTCTCTTGCTGTGTAGTCCTCTCCTCAGCCCTCGGTTTAGTTACTATGGTTCCAGTAAGAGCATTGGCGACTACATACAAGGGAAATAAGGATAACAAACGAACTTGAAATAAACGAAAAATCTATTCCTAATCGCTACCCTAACCCTAACCCTAACCACAATACTCGCCTTAACCCCTATCCTAACCCTAACGAGATGTTAACACATTGTCCAAACAGTAATAAAAGTGTTATCTGGGTGAAACTTGCTCCTTATTTGATGAATAGGGTTGATATTTCAGCTATGATAATGACAGGAACCGTTAGCCAACGACTAGCATGCGTTCAAGGTCATTTGAGCGTTGAAGGTTTTGGGACCCTATTCTTAAACTTCGCCTTCAAAATGTGTCAGATGTATAGATACATAAGAGTTTGAATGTTAACAGACCAGAAAGTGTTTCGATACGTCGTGTTCATTAATTTATTGCGTGCAACATGGCTCCGATTGGTTGCTCTAAATTATAGCGGCCAAAAACGAAACAACCTGATGACGACCTTGACAAGACCCTGTAGACTAATCGGATGCCCCCAAAGCGCGATATTTGAAATAATTCGAAGTTAAAAAATAGTTACGCAGGATAACATTCTGGCATAAGATCTAAAAACACCTCCTAACTTTTCATACGTGTCCTTATAGTCAGGTTATACTAATTTCTGCCCACAAATAACTCAGATTCATCGTGTTTCCTGACTCATTCACCGCTCCAACTCTCTTTTTTAGGTGACTCTAGAAACTTTCAAGGTGCAGTTGAACAATAGCGTCCCAATGGTGCGAATGCTCCAATGACCTTGAACGCATGCTAGTCGTTGGCTAACTACACCTGTCATTACTATAGTGCAAATATGAACGCAATTCACCGACTCAGGGGCAAATTTCACCCAGGTCACATTTTTGATTACTGTCTGGACAATGCGTTAATAGATCATTAAGGTCGGGATTATGGTTAAGGTTAGGTTACGATTAGGGATCGATTTAGAGTTGGTATTATTTATTTTAATTTGTTTTATTGTCCACATTTTCCTAGTAAGTATGTAGTGAAATGTGAATGTTCGAACTTTTGTTTCGACGAGTTCACGAACAGACTAGCACCAACGCCATTGCTGTCACGCTCTCTGATTATGTAAACGACAGTTGCGTTCTCTGGTCCGGTTGTATAGCCTTTCAATCAAGGTAAGTTGTTGTGCCATATTTTATATCCAAATATACTGCTCAAAAGAGCATACCAATATGTATCAGTATTTAATATGCTCCTTGTTGTCACAATATAAGTAAGTACTGACTTATCAAACGCCACACATTTCATTTAGTATAGGTGGAATTGTTTAGCTATAGTGATAGCACGCTGCTAGCCAAATTGGTAGACATTAATTTACGTCAGTGTTTATGTGGCAAATATTGATCATGACAAAATATGGACAAGACTGATTCAACAACCATTCAAAGGAGACTTAGAGTTGGCGGATACAATTAACATATATAATAATATTGTGTATTCTCATATACACATATAAATTTACACGAAAATGCATGCCATTTTTACAGGCACGATCAAGTATGGTATAATGTCAAATCTTAGATTGTCTACAAGTTAATAATGTTTCAACAGTTGAATATTTGATATATATATATATAATTACACTCGTTGTCTGAACCAGGCTGTATAGTTATTGAATTGTACAGTTGTCCTCCAGGTTGAGCGGGAAAATCGACTTCGTTTCGCTTTCATCCCCTGGTTGTCGGCATACGATGACCAACCAATATCGAGGTAAGTACAACATTTACAAGGGATTGAAAGCTGTTTTAGAAAAGTTACAGTGCTAAGGTGAATCATTAAAGTGTAATAAATTAAGTAAGTGCAATATATCATTAATAAATGCATTTATATAGAAAACAGAATGGGGAAGTAATTAACCCTTAGGCCGACAACGTTCATTTGCAATGTATAATAGTACCAATATACTTCGTACTATCATGGTGTCCACTTTTGGCTCTAATACAATTATTTTCAAGCCAGTTGTTTTTATTTCATGCCTTTTTGTCTATTCGGTACACAACCGTACCCGACAGAGAATAGGAATAGAATAAGTCGAATCAAATTCATAAAGAGCTATAAAATGTTAGGTTTAATGGAATATAATGATGATCAAGTAAAGACATTATTAGAAAATAAATGAGATAATACATTGTGAAGTGGTTTTTAAAGACCCGACAATGGACAGTAAGTTAATTTATAAGATGCCCCATAAATCTGTGCAGAGCCCATGTGGTCGCAACTCAACAATAGGCTGAGCGAATGGTATATATTTAAAGGCAGAAGTATGATCTGTCAAGGCGTTCATTACTATCTTTTTCAAGATAAAGATCTAAGCCCTCATAAAAATCGGAAATATCTCGAGCCGTTATATTGTATATTGCTGTTCCTGCAGAATGGGGTGATTCACCTTAGTGACCACCACCATATCTACTGATCAGCTAACGCCACCCTCCCTCCTTTTTTGATGTTAGGCTCTGAGACTATGATTATTATGGCTACCGAAAATATATTGCTTGGTACCAGACATGTTCGTACCCCATATTCCATCTCCCTAGCTTTCTTAATGAGTGCTTCCAATAGGTCTCCACGTACATCTTTATGAACATATTATATATGTGTGCCTGCATCCTAATGAACAGATTACTTCATAAGAAGACAAAAACTTAAAGAGTAAAAAGAATAGGTTTTGTGAATAGTGGAGCAGGATTCAGCAGAACACTATAGTTGGTTCAATGTAGGTAGTATGAACTGAAGGTAAGGTCCGTTGGCAGGACTTAGTGTGCTTATATATAGTAAACATTCGACATTGCAAAGTAACGCTTCTAGACATATTATAAAACATATTAACACAGAACAAACAAAGTTTTGGCATTTGATTAACAATACTGCAGTGTGTGTATACTGAAGAATGGTAGTTAGTCTACAGGGAGCCGTAGACCAAATCAAACCATATGTCACTCTCGTCTCATAAACCGTTAATGCCCAGCTCTCGCTACGCTCGGGCCCACGCTGTTCCTTTGAGTTTCAGAAACGCTTAGTAATAACGGACGCAAAAACCAAAACACCGATCTGCCGCTTGTTATTTCTTTATTGTTACACCAACATATAAAAGGAATAAACGAACTAAGCAAACTAAGGTCTGTAAACAAATATTACAATAATAAATCGTTATGTTACTTCTGACGATGTTTCACTCTTCTTTCTGAACAGCGACCGATGAGACGATGACTGTCGTATTGATGCCTCCGCGAAAATTGGGGAAGTTGATTTTGAGCAAACAACCAAGAATTGATCGTTCAATCTTCAACTCCATTGACACTCCCCGGCAAAAAAGGGATCCAACCCTTTTTTCCTTCACGACCAATGCACGTTGACTTGGATGCCATTGCGAGAACCTGGGTCACACGGACAGAGCTGAAATGGAAAACAAACAGAAAAGCCAACACACCACAAGCATACCCACAGCACAATCTCACACATCAATGACGACCTGCGCCTCCAGACAGAGACCTCCTCTTGACATCTTGCAACACAATCGCCACTTGCTAGAATGACTCTTGCAGAATGCAAAGTGACCATGGCAGCACCTCACGATACTCTACGCACATCCTCTTATCTACTCATTACCAATTACCACTGAAATCGCTTGTCACTCATTCTGCCTCAGTTCTAGTAACGGTGACGCATGCGAGCCTCAGTCGTTTACACTCTTTCTCCCCGGCGTGTCGGACCGCAGCTAACAATTATCTCCGTGTGCATTTCATTCTCAGCAATAGCCTAGCCTCCCCGGCGTATACGACCCATCTGCTGTCCTTAACATCAATCAATTCATTCACGGATGTAGAAGACTCGAAACAACTTCAGAAGTAATCACGACGAAAATTTTAACAAAATTACGCAATAACAACAAGACACGAAAACAACGAGTAAACACAATGAATCCAAAATACACCAATTGCTATGACACACCACACGTATATACAAACAGTACACACAAACTCGCATTTCATGTCTTGATGGAATTCCCTTGAAGAATTGCAGGACTTACACCAGTACGCCTACAACCCTTCTCAGGTTGACGATTGTAATTTGTGGAATGCACGGACACAAACAAGATTAACCAACAATTACATCAATTGGAACTCACACAACTATTTAACACAAACATATGTACAATCATAACATCAAATGTTGTGGATTCTGGCATGACAAACTACCCTTGAAGAACTGTAGGACTTACAGCAGTACGCCTACATTCCTTCTCAGGTTGATGATCCAAGTGGAAGTCGTCCGGACACAAACAGAATTACCAACAGCTAGATGACAAATGATATCAATTCAGTATATACAATATGAACATATGTACAAGATCATACACCAAGCACATTGGACTGCTCATTGATGCGCTACCCTTTGAAGAACTGTAGGACTTACAGCAGTACGCCTACAACCCTTCTCAGGTTGACGCCCTAGGTTGGAAAATCGTCGCAGAGTTCATTTGCTGACTTCCTTCTATCAGCTATATCCTCAAATCTGAACGGCAACACGCCCATGTCATTGTATCGTAGAATATAGATGACGAACAAACACACGACATATCTCATCAACCAAGCGTAGAAACAGAGTAATTTACACCAAAGATAATAACATTCAAATAGTAACTTGAAACTAGAAATGCCTTTATTCGTGCAAGTCAATTTAACAATTACTCTCTCGTTTACACTTGGCTTATCCTCACTAAACTGACCATTGATATTCGTCCTTTCAAACGAACTGATACTTGCATAGTCATTGCACAAGATACTTGAGTTGATGGGTGTCTGTTTCATTGTGGATGACAGCACTAACGACGACTGATTGATATCAGTTGATGAACTTAGCAGTGGATCAAAAGCTGTTGTTGCTCGCTTTCAGAAATTTGTCTACCTGCAAGACCACCACCACTGCTGTCTTTTACTATCAGCTCAGGTTTAACACTAGCATCTGATGATAGGTGGGCTTCACTCTGATCAATTACACTGACGGTTTGACAAGTATGCATGCCTTCTGCAACTGCATTCAATTCTACTTCACGTTCAAGTTGTACAGAACCTTTATTTAACTTAGCAGTAGTAGGCATTCCCTCCATTTCATCATGATCAACCAAAGACAAATCTGCACTATCATGATCATTATCACAAATATTCAATTTACCGTCAAGTTCATCATTTTCAAACTC